AGGTGAAAATCTTTGTGCCTTGTTCTTGCACTTAGGGGGAAAAGCATTTTTTTTTTTTTTTGCCATCATGTATGATGTTAGCTGTAGGAATTCTGTAGAGACCCTTTATTACACTGAGAAAGTTCACTACTATTTTTTCGAGAGTTTTATTATAAATAGATGTTGAATTTTGTCAGATGCTTTTTCTGCATCTACTGAGATGATGTGGTTCCTGTCTTTTATTATACTGATGTGTTTTATTACAGTAATTTATTTCTAAATGCTGAATTAATATTGCATCCATAGAATAAATCCCACTTGGTTATGGTGTGCAATCCTTTTTCATTACCAGACTTAGTTTTCTAATAATTTATAAATGGTTTTCCCTTCTGTATTCATAATGCATATTATTCTGTAGTTTTCCTTTCTTGCAATGTCTTTCTCTAGCTTTGGTGTCAGGGTAATACTGACTTCACAAAATTAATTGGGAAGTAATTTTCTGAGCAAGTTTATGAAGAATTGATATTATTTCCTTTTCAAATATGTGATAGACTTCATCAATGAAGCAATTTATTACTCAGCATTTCTTTAGGGGAAGATTTTAAATTACTAATTTAATATCTTTGCTTTTAGGTTTGAGAGAGAGAGAGAACATGTGCACACATGCAAGTGGTGGTGGGGGGAGAGGGATACAGGGAGAGAGAGAGAGAATCTCAAGCAGACTCCCTGGTCAGCATGGAGTTTGATGTGGGGCTCAATTTCATGACCCTGAGATCACAACCTGAGCCAAAATCAAGAGTCAGATGCTTAACCGACTGAGCCCCCAGGCTCCCGTTTAATTCAGTATCTTTTTTACTTAAGTATAATTAACATGCAATGTTGTATTAGTTCAAGGTGTATGATATATTGATTCAACAATTCCAAGTATTTCTCAGCACTCAGCAAGTTAAGCATACTCTTATCCCCTTTATTTCATCCATCCCCCCCAACTCCGGTCTACTCTGGCAATAACCAGTTTGTTCTTTGCATTTATAGGTCTAATTATGCTTTTGGTTTGTTTATTCATTTCTTTTTTGATTTCACATACATGTGAAATCATATGCTATTTGCCTTTCTCAGACTTATTTTATGTAGCTGTATACCTTCTCGGTCCATCCATGCTGTTGCAAATGGCAAGATTTCATTCTTTTTGAAGGCTGAGTACTGTTGCATTGTATATAGGTACATCTTCTTTATCTACTTATCTATGGATGCACACTTAGACTGCTTCCATATCTTGGCTCTTGCAAATAATACAGTGATAAATATAGGGATGCATGTATCTTTTCAAATGAATGTTCTTGTTTTATTTGGTTAAATACCCAGTGGTGGAATTACTGGACTATAGGATAATTCCATTTTTCATTTTTTGAGACTTGTCATACTGTTTTCCACAGAGCCTTCATCAATTTGCATTCCCACCAACAGTGTATGAGGGCTCCTTTTTCTCCACATCTCTACCAACACATGTTATTTATTGTCTTTTTGACTCTAGCCATTCTGACAGATAGAGATAGCTCATTGTGGTTTTAATTTGCATTTCTCTGATGCTTAGTGATATTGAGCATCCTTTCAAGTGCCTGTTGGCAATCTGTATGTCTTCTTCAGAAAAAAATGTTTATGAAAGTCCTCTGCTCACTGTTTAATTGGATTGTTTTTTTTTTCCCCAGTGTTAAGTCGTATGACTTCTTTATACATTTTGGATATTACCCCCTTAATGGATAAATCATTTGCAAATATCTTCTCTCATTCAATAGGTTGCCTTTTTTTTTTTCATTGATGGTTTTCTTTGTGGGACAAAAGCTTGTTGTTTTGGTATAGTCCCAATTGTTTAATTTTGCTTTTGTTTACCTCACCTGAGGAGACACATCTAGAAAAATGTTTCTATACCTGATGTAAAAAATTACTATGTTTTTTGCTAGAATTTTTATGGTTTCAGGTCTCACGTTTAGGCCTTTCATCCGTTTTGAGTCTATTGTTGTGTAAGGTGTAAGGAAATAGCCCACTTTCATTCCTTTGCATGTTATTATCCACTTTTCCCAGCCTCATTTGTTGGAAAGACTGTCTTTTCCCCCTGCATATTCTTGCCTCCTTTGCAATAGATTAATAGACCATTTAAGTGTGGGTTTATTTCCAGGTTCTCTATTCTGTTCCCTTGATCTCTGTATTTTTGTGCCAGTACCATATTGTTTTGATTATTACAATTTGTAGTATAGTTTGAAATCTGGGATTGTGACATCACCAGCTTTGTTCTTCTCCAAGGTTGATTTGGCTATTTGGGGTCTTTTGGTGGTCCCATACAAATTTTATGATAATTTGTCCTAGTTCTGTGAAAAAAGTTGTTGGCATTTCGATAGGGATTGCATTAAATCTGTAGATTGCTTTGGGTAGTATGGACATTTAACAATGTTTTTTCTTCCAATTCATGAGCATGGAATGTCTTTCCATTAGCTTATGTCCTCTTCAGGTTCTTTCATCACTGTTTATGTAAGTTTTCAGAGTATAGGTCTTTCAACTCCTTGGTTAAGTTTATTTCTACATATTTTATTATTTTTGGTGCAACTACAGATGGGATAATTTTTTCCTCTTTTTGCTACTTCTTATTAGTGTATAGAAATGCAACAAACTTCTGTGTATTAATTTTATATCCTGTGACTTTACTGAATTCATTCATCAGTTCTAGTAGTTTTTTTGTGGAGTCTTTAGGGTTTTCTTTACACAGTATCATCTCATTTGCAAAGAGTGAAAGTCTTACTTCTTCCTTACCAATTTAGATACCTTGTATTTCTTTTTCTCATCTGATTGCTGTGGCCAGGGCTTCCAGTACTATGTTGAATAAAAGTGGTGAGAGTGGACATCTTTGTCTTTTTCCGGATCTTGGATGAAAAGTTCTGAAGCTGATGTTAGCTCTAAGTTTTTTCACATATGGCCTTTATGTTGAGATATGTTCCCTCTAACCCCCCTTAGTTCAGAATTTTTATTATGAATGGATATTGTACTTTGTCAAATGCTTTTTCTGCATCTACTGAAATGATCATATTTTTTCCTTTCTCTTGTAAATGTGATGTGTCATGTTAATTGATTTGTGAATACTGAAGCACCCTTGCATCCCTGGAATAAATCCCAATTGATCATGGTGGATGATTTTTTTTAATTTAATTCTATTTTTTCAGTGTTCCAAGATTCATTGTTTTTGCATAATACCCAGTGTTCCATGCAATACATGCCCTCCTTAATACTGTGGTGGATGATTCTTTGAATGTATTGTTGTATTCAGTTTAACAATATTTTATTGGGGATTTCTGCATCTGTGTTCATCAGACATATTGGCCTACAATTTTTTTCTTCATCGTGTCTTTATCTGCTTTTGGTACCAGCATAATCCTGGCCTTACAAATGAATCTGAAAGTTTTCCTCCTCTACTATTTTTTGGGAATAGGAATTGATTCTTCTTTAAATATTTGGTAGAATTCACCCATGAAGCCATCTGGTCCTGGACTTTTGTTTGTTCAGAGTTTTTCTATTACTGATTCAATTTCATCATTACTAAATGGTCTATTCAAATCTTCTGTTTCTTCCTGATGTAGTATTGGTGTTGAAGTCCTTTGCTTATCTAGGAAACTCTATCTCTTTTTCAATTCTGAAAAGGTTTGCTGGGTATTCTTCGTTGTAGGTTTTTTTTTTTTTCTTTCAGCACTTTGAATATATCATGCCACTCCCTTCTGACTTGTAAAGTTTCTGATAAAAACTCAGGTTATAGCCTCATGGTGTTTCCCTCGTATTTAACTATTTTCTCTCTCTGCTTTTAAAATTCTCTTTATCACTACTCTTTGCCATTTTAATTATTATGTGTCTTGATATGGACCTCCTTGGGTTAATTTTATTGGAAAATTTCTGTGCCTTTTGGATTTGAATGTATGTTTCCTTGCCTAGATTGGGGAAGCTTTCAGCTATTATTTCTTTTAAAAAGTTTCCTGTCCCCTTTTCTCTTTTTCTTTTGGGATCCCTATAATGTAAATGTTATTATGCTTAATGATAGTGTTGACTTCCCACAAGCTATTTATTCTCATTTTGTATTAATCTTTTTTCTTTTTGCTGTTCAACTTAGTTGTTTTATATTACCCTGTCTTCCAGATTGTTGATTTGCTCTTCCGCATATTCTAACTTGCTGTTGGTTCCCTTTAATGCATTTTTAATGCCAGTTATTGAGTTCTCTAGGACCAGAAACAGTTTAATAACATTGGAATTAGCTGTTTTTTTTTAACGGTTGAACAGAAATAAGCTTTGAAGCCATTTGATCTTATAGCCTCCCCATCTGCTTTCTATGGTGGATTTAAGAAAATACTTTTCAGGTTTCTTAACTCTAGTAAATAACACTGAATTTTAAAGCTAAGTTTCCTGTCTTGCTCCGGAAAATTACATTAATGTCATTTAACATTTGTGCTATATCTTTCTTCCAAGGAATTCTAATTGCATTATAGCAATTAGGGAAATCAGAATCAAGATATTAGAACTGGAAGGAACCTTAAGAATAATCTAACTTAATCTTCACATTTCATAAATGAGTTCACATAAACATTAATTTTCACATAATTTAGTTTCAGTTAAGGGGGTAGTTTATTAGGGGTAACTTCAGATATAGAAATGTTCATACAAGCTATATAGTCAGCTGAGTCGAGTAAAATTTGGTTTAGGAAATGTTGGGATCCTTTACTTTCCAGGTTTAGATGAAATGATGTTAATCCAGGAACTGAAATTCCCAACAGGTATTTTTTTTTCTTTACTGAAAACCTTCACTCATTAACTTGATTACCAGTTAATTTTTCTAAATCATTCTTTAGCTGTTTTTAAGGTATTGAATGTGAATACTAATAGGAACAGATTATCATATATCTTCACTTTATTCTTCCCTAAAATTGGAAAGGTTTAGAACAAGACTGTCCTTTCCTCACGATCATGACTTTCTTCCACATCCAACTTACCAAGTCTTTGTCTAAAGCCCCAGGGACGGACTTGCTTCTTATGCTTACAGTATTCTCTAAGTCTTCTGGAAATGACCCACTCAGATCTAACTCAGATCGACTCCGGTCTGGAGGAAGGGAGAGAGAAGGAGAGATAGGAATCCAGCTAATTTTGTTAGAAGATTTCCCTTCTCGTTGCAAATGTTTTATCTTTTTTCCCATTCCTTCTAGGTACAGGGCATAGAGTGTCATGAAAGCAATAGTTAGAGTCAGTAACTCATGCTGTTTACACTAATGTACTTTGTTTTTTTAAAAAAAAGCATTTGAACACTGGGATACAGATGGCCCTTCTTTTCACTACATCTGTATCTTTGGGGTAAATACCCAGTGGTGCAATTGCTGGGTCATAGGGTAGTTCTATTACTAATTTTTTGAGGAATCTCTACACTGTTTTCCAAAGTGGCTGCACCAACTTGCATTCCCACCAACAGTGTAAGAGGGTTCCCCTTTCTCCACCTCCTATCTGACACTTGTTATTTCCAGTCCTGTTAATTTTGGCCATTCTAACTGGTGCAAGGTAAATACTTTGCTTTTAAAAATATAATTTAAAAAATGATGCACAGCTCAGTAATGCTGTGGGCAACTTAATAAGGCACAGTTTATTTACACAGAACAGTTCTATATCAAAGTCCTGCTAAAATAGAGTTGCTCATAATGAGAAAGACTAATGAGAGCAATCACATGCTTGAGTTTGAAATAGTAAATTAAATAATGCAGAAGGACTTAGGACAGTGCCCAACACAGAGTATGTACTCCATAAATAGGAGCTGTTGACCAGAAGTAGGAGCAAATGATCTATGAGGTTGGCTTCTATGCTCGTTTAAAATTTTTCTCCTAATGGGAGAACTAATCTTGTCGTCCCGATCAAAATGCAACAATAGCCACATATATTTAGAAAGCGCTTTGGGAGCCTCCCGACAAGGAAAGGCTCCCCAACTCGGCACACATAATCCAGCCTCAGGCTTTATGTAAATATCATCAATAGGTATAAGAGTTAACTTTCTCCTGTTGAGGATTTTGTCATGCTTTTAATTCTACACAAGGGACATAAGCTTCATAACTACAGCATATTTCTCTAAATAATTTTCTTATTTATAGGTAATAAAATTACAACACAATTAATACCTGCTTCCCAGGGTTGCTGTGATGAAGAAGTGGAAGGATATATTGTACTGGAATGTACCATACAAATAAAAAACATTGTTATTGATACCTTACTGCTGCTTGCAAATAACTCTTTATTTAAATCACAGGATAATTCATCTGTCTAGACATAAGGCATTTATGTCTACCATGTCAAATGAACGATCATTTCCTTGAATTCCGGGAAAGCACCTTCATCTTTCCATCAAACGAACCAATTCTATGTCCTACATTCCTGTACTGACATCAGGTACAGCTCTGAAACTTGGCAGTGATGCCTGACAAGCGTGCACACTTAATCAATGGATTTTGCATGAGTGCAAGAGGCTCAGGGCATCACCTGGGTCTAGACTTAAGCTTTTCTTATGGAATGGGACCACCATGATGAGTCAAGGAACAGATGGTGATTTTCTAAAGCATGGAACATCCACGGAATGTCACACAAGGCAGTTAATTTCAAATGATTTAGTCATTTTTTTTTAAAAAAGAAGAGTAATCATGCTGTAAATACCCACCTGAGGAAAGGGAGATCTCAGACACCGCTATGGAAGGTGTACCAGAAACATTTCTGCGATGACTCTTTGTGAGGTCCTCATACGTGCTTTCGATGGCAGCCAAATCCATGGAACTTTCAAAACCATGTCGCTTCTCACAAAGTAAAAATGAAAAAAAAAGAAGCCAACATTATGATGACTGTAATTTACTTTAAAAGCCTCCCATATGAATATACTTCAGTATAACCATAGTGGTGGTGTATTCCTCTTTAGGGAGGGCTGGTGGACATTGGGGAGGATCCTCATCATGAGTCCAGAGAACCCTGAAGCTTACCATCAATAATTGCGCTGTAAAATCTATACCAAGAGGTTAATTAACACAGAAGTCATTCAAAATTGTGAGTGTTCTACTATAGAGTTAGCAAGAAAAATGATATAAGTACCTCCAATCTTACAGGACCCATATATGGGACTCTGGCTAGCTTCACATCCCCAGAGTAATGTTCAAGCTTAGTATTCTTCTTGTTCCTATGTTTATCCCCACTTTCAACACCCTCTTTCCTCAACCAACCCTTACCTCCTCTACCCCCACTTAATGGAAGACCATGACCCACAATCCAGGTGAACGCATGGCATAGAAGGGTCCCCGGGATACTGCCCCTGCCTCGGGCTGGAGTCTGTGCGGATTGCTCAGTGCCACATCAGATACTAAATATTTTGAATATCATTCCTTGTTAGGTTGCCAAGAAGTAAGGGTAACCATCAAATATCCACACAGTTTTCTGACTATTGAACAGTACCACTCACTGAGCTTCATATAAAAATTTATGAAATTTTAAATATGCTTTTTACCTTATCAGCAAGTACAATTCAGACTTTAAATATTGAAAGAAATGTTCTATTATTCTTCAGTCTGTCTGAATGCCTTTTGGCATTTCCTTAAGAATATTACAGAATCTGACAGTTCCTAGCCTCTGCTTTTTTTTTTTTTTAAGTTCATGATTATTTTTCCGAAGTCACATTCTAGGAAGAGTCAATATTTTAGATAAATAGCTTTTATATTCAGTATTTAGCTACTATTATTATTGAAGCATTGTTCACATAAAATGGTAGTGTCAGGTAGATAACACAGTGATTTGACAATTGTATACGTTTTGCAGCGCTCACCACAGTAAGTGTAGTCACCATTTGTCACCATACAAGGCTTTTACAGTATTATTGACTCTATTCCCTATCTTCTCCTTTTCCTCTCCGGGACTTATTTATTTTATAAAATTTTATAAATTTCATTTATGGAATAATTTATGGAATTTATAAAATTCCATAAAAGTTTGTACTTCTTAATCCCCTTCACCTCTTTCACCAATCCCCTCATTTCCCTCTCCTCTGGCAACCACGAGTCTGTTCTCTAATATATAAGAGTCTGTCTCTGGTTATGTCCTATTGGTTCATTTATTCTGATTTTCAGAGTCTATATATTAGTTAAATGGTATTTGTCTTTCTCTGTCTGATTTACTTCCCTTAGCATAATATCCTGGAAGTCCATCTGTGTTGTCACAAATGCTATGTTCTCATTCTTTTTTATGGCTGAGAAATATTTCACTGAGTGTGTGTGTGTGTGTGTGTGTGTGTATCTACACCACATCTTCTTTATCCATTCATCTATCAGGGGATACTGGGGTCACTTCCATATCCTCGTTATTGTAAATAATGATACAGTATACACAGGGCTGCAGATATCTTCTTGAATTAGTGTTTTAGTTTTCTTTGGGTAAACAGCCAGTAGTGGAATTACTGGATCATATGGTAATTCTACTTTCAATTTTTTTTTTTAAGAAACCTCCATAATGTTTTCCACAATGGTTATACAAGTCTGCGTTCCCACCAACAGGGCTCGGGATTCACAACCTCCCCTTCGATCTTCTCGTTCCGAAGTCTAGTTTCTCACCTGCAGTAACACAATGGCATCATAACTGGCCTCCTGGCTTCTCCATTTGTTCCCCCACAAATGCTTCTCAGCACAGCCCCCAGGTCCCATGTAAAGAGAAGCCACATCCTCTGCCTGTTTTTTAATTGAATTTTTTGTTTTTGCGGTGTTGAGTTGTATAAGTTCTTTATATATTTTGGATTAAGGAAGGCACTTATTATGATGAGCACTGGGTGATGTATGGAATTGTTGAGTCTCTATATCGTACACCTGAAACTACTATAACATCGTATGTTAACTATACTGGAGTTAAAAAAAATTAATTCAGACAGAAAAACAAACAAAAAAAAATTACAAAAAAGAAAAGCCACATCTGCTCAAACCCTCCAGCTGGCCTCATCTTATCCCAACTAAATGTCAAATTGCCTACAATAGTCTGGCCATGTTACATCCGTGAGCTTATTTCCTAGGATCCCTCCCTTTATTCACTTGCAACAGCTACATTGGCCTTCTTTTTCTTCCTTGAACATACCAGGCATGTTCCCACTTCAGAGTCTTAGCACTGGCTGCTTCTCCAGGGGATTAAAAATATTTTAGCCGCTGGGTGAACAAGTGCATCGACCGTTCAAGATGGAGGGTGGCCATAAGTAACCGGAACAGCCTTCCCCATATGTGTACCTGCTGAATATCAGTGCTGCTCCTGCCCGAAGGGACACCTTGCTACAGACTCCTGCATGGCTGATTCTTTCACTTCCCACCACCTTTGCCTGACTAGGACCAAGATTTCTTAAATATACATGCCAGCTACATTTATGGAGTTTGCTGCTTAATCAAAAAAAAAAATCTATTAGACGCTCAGTCATTCAAAAGAACAACTTCCACGTTCCATATATATATTTTATGCATAATGCAATTTATGTCTTCATTATGTGTTGGTCCCGAATTTTAGCAGTGTTCTAGAAAGGAAAACTATTAAAAAATTTCAAGAGTCTACTTTTCTTGATTTAAATCAGTGTGGAAAATGTTTCGTGCAGGCGACTTACGAATATCTTGACAGATAACATGGAAGATTAAAGGGGAGACTTCTAAACATTATTCAGGTTTTGTTTAAACCATATAACCGCCACCTTTGAGCCTGCTCCTTCCCTTTGCTTCACACTTCTGGCTTCCCACCAGGAGCAAAGGATGTAGGAGGCTCAGTCTTGATAAAGAAGTTTCTACAATTAAGCAGCATAAACAGCATGCTTCGAGATACAGAGAACCCAAACCCAACCAGGCCATGATGGTGTGGTCAGGTCTCAGAAGCTGGGGGTCCTTTTGCATTTGGTACTTACTCTAATGCTGACTGAGGCCACATTGTGTGTGCTTGGGGCTGGTGACCTCTGAGTGATGGAGGTCACACCACTGCTCCGGCTGCTTTTCGGGGTTGAGGGGCCAGCTTCCTGGTCATTAAGATCGGATGAACCCATGCTTCCCCTAAAAGAGAAAGAATATTCTGGATTTTTTAACATGGTCAGCAGCTACCATTTCCCTTTCTTCCTCAAAGACTCGCTAGAATCAAGCCCATCTGTCTGACTCCAGGGTTTTTGTAAGTGAGCTTCGCCCTTCCATTCCAGCTTTTTTTTTTTTTAAAGATTTTATTTATTTATTTGACAGACAGAGATCACAAGTAGACGGAGAGGCAGGCAGAGAGAGAGGGGGAAGCAGGCTTCTTGCTGAGCAGAGAGCCCAATGTGGGACTCGATCCCAGGACCCTGAGATCATGACCTGAGCCGAAGGCAGCGGCTTAACCCACTGAGCCACCCAGGCGCCCCCCATTCCAGCTTTATTTCCCACTGCTCACCAGCATTCTCCCAGCTCCCAGACAGCCTCCTCGCTGTCCTCTCAACCCACCACACTCATGGCTCCTGCTTCTGCTTCTACCTCTAAAGCTTTTGCTGACACTCTCTCCACCTGATATGCTCTCTTTGCCACTCCCTGTTATGTAAATCTTCTCCATCCTTCAAGGCCCAGCTGAAGTCCAGCCTCCCCCGTCAGGGTTTTCCTGACATTTACAAGCCTTGTCAAGCTCTGCTCTGCTCAGTTCTTGTTGACTTACAGTCTTGACCCAACTGTGTAGTCCTTGACTACAGAATGTCTTATTTGGCTCCCCAAGAGATACACATATGTGTGCCTTGGTTCTTCTTTCAACCTAAACTCCCTGGGGACAGAGTTCATATTTACCATGGTATCTCCACCACCTTTATAACACCTTGGTGCAAAGGAGGCACTCAGTACATATTTAATCAAAAAGTGGAAATTATGTTGTATTTCTCTGTGTTATTTCAGTGTCTGACTCATGGTACAGATGTAATAAACATGGTATAAAAATAATGACATTTAGTAAATGGGCTTGACTCACTTTGTTTGCTAAAACTGATTCAATTCCATTCAATAATGATTAGTAAAAAAAATAGTTCCTGCCCTTGAGGTGAACACAATTTTCTCATTACATGGGAATTTCATAACTAAGTGTAAGTTTTGACAAATTAGAGTTTAAGAGAAGTGTCTGTTCTATTTCATTATTTATCCTCAGTGAGCACAAAATACACCAAGTGGTAAAATAGAAGCCTTTGCAAATTTCCTCTTTTATTCACTACTTAATAAGTTATAAATGCATCTATAACAATAAACATTTTACTGTTTAAAGCCTCACAGTGATAGTTAACAGTGATTAGAACTTACTGAAAAGATATGCTAAAGAAAAGATATGCTAAAGAAGAGAGAAATGTTTTTTTGTTTTTGTTTTTGTTTTTTTTTTTTAAAGAATGTCTGACTGTGCATGTGACATTACTGGAAGACAAATCTGGCAGGAGGAAGAACGGGCATTGACCACTGCATCTATCATCTACAGCTCGTAAGTTTTTCAAGACTGTGCACCAGAGAAGCCACTAAAATCAAATCAAATATTCCCTGACTGATACAACTACCTACCACCACCCTCCATCACTATGTAAATAGAAGCTACATTTACTGAGTATTTTCTAGGTGTTTGACACTCTCCATTCCCCAACATCCCTGTTTAGAAAAAAAAAAAAAGATACCAATAGTCTTCTTTTTTAAAAAATTTTATTTTATTTATTTATTTGACAGACGGAGATTACAAGTAGGCAGAGAGGCAGGCAGAGAGAGAGAGAGAGAGAGAGAGAGAGAGAGGAGGAAGCAGGCTCCCCACTGAGCAGAGAGCCCGACGCGGGGCTCAATCCCAGGACCTGGGATCATGACCTGAGCCGAAGGCAGAGGCTTTCACCCACTGAGCCACCCAGGCGCCCCAATAGTCTTCTTTTAAAGATGAGAAAACTAAGTCTCGGAGAGGTTAAACAATTATTCCAGATAAGCACACATGTGTCTGTGTCCACACACAACACACACCACCACTACGATTACCACACTCTCACCCAGGTAGTACATAGGAAAGTCAGGATAAGAACTGAGACCTGCCTGTCTACCCAAAGCCTGTGCTCATTCCAGTTGTTCATACTGCTTACTCATTATTTCCCCCAAATCAAACTGATGCAACAAGCAGGTTCTACATTGACAGACAGAGCTGTATCATGCAGAAAATAACCCTAGGATCAGAGAGCTGGGAGGTAGTTTCTTGGAATCTGATTAAGAGAACTAAAAATTTCTCTGGGTAACATTCTTCTTCTTTTTTTTTTTAATTTATTTGAGAGAGAGAAAGAGTGAGAGAGAGAAAGCATGGGATGGGGGAGGGTTAGAGGGAGAAGCAGACTCCCTGCTGAACAGGGAGCCTAATGTGGGACTCAATCCCGGGACTCTGGGATCATGACCTGAGCCGAGGGCAGATGCTTAACTGACTGACCTACCCAGGCACCCCGGGTAGCATTCTTCTGATACCACATAGAAACTGTCTCTGGCTTCATCTAGAGATGGCACTCTGAATTAATTACAGATTGCTCAGGAGGGGTCAAGACTGCATCTTGATTCTGATGAAAGAGAATATAAAGTTTTGTGATTAAATAAACTGCTATAATTTGAAATTATAAGTTCCTTGGTAAATTTCTCCCTCAGGGGCTACATTTCCACACTTGACAACAGTTCACCATCCAAGTGATTTTGCTCGTCTCAGAAGTCCTACTTAGAAAGGTTGTAGAGACCTATCCAGGAATGCTGTGCTGTGACAGTAGGTTCTCTACTCTCAGAACAATGTTACCACAAAAATCTCTCTCTCTACTCTTTTAGGTAAAATCTCCTTGGGGGAAAATAAAGAATACACATGAATTTTGCAGAAATGAGCCAAGAAGTTACGACCCAAAGGGACTCATGTAGATTTATCTGTTTGTGCCTGTCCTAAACGTTCTCCTTCACCCAGGTGGTTTTGAAAAAGTCCCCATCATGGAATAGCTTTGCTGGAACCAAAAGTTCTACTTATGTAGAAGCTCAAGCATATGTTGATTAAGTGTGGTGATGACATTCAAAAGGCTATCCTGTAATAAGAAAAAAATTCTTATAAGTCAGCTACTGAAAATTGTTGCCAGAATCATTATCTCAAAAATGACATATAATTTCACATTTGTCCCTGACATTTACTGTGAGCATCTCAAAAATACTTTCCTCTCAGCTGATTGTCTCAGTTTGTTAGACTAAAAAAGATTTCGTCTAATGAGGCAGAATATCATAAATATTTGGATGCCAACTCTTTCAGATGTTATATAAAAATATGACATGGAGGGGCACCTGGGTGGCTCAGTGCATTAAGCCTCTGCCCTCAGCTTAGGTCATGATCCCAGGGTCCTGGGATCGAGCCCCGCATCGGGCTCTCTGCTCTGCGGGGAGCATGCTTCCCCCTCTCTCTCTGCCTGCCTCTCTGCCTACTTGTGATCTCTGTTAAATAAGTAAATAAAATCTTTAAAAAATATATGACATGGAATACATAAATCTTTGCCACTTAAATAGGAAGAAGATAAAATTTAAATTCAAGAAGTTTAGGGGCACCTGGGTGGCTCAGTGGGTTAAATTCAAGAAGTTTAAAGTTCAATTAAGAAAGAGAGATTTTTTGGGCAGAGGATCTGAATAGACATCTTCCCAAAGAAGGCCATCCATATGGCCAACAGACACATGAGAAGATGCTCACCATCACACAACATCAGGAAAATGCAAATCAAAACCACAATGAGATCTCACCTCACACCTGTCAGAACTGCTAGAATCAAAAAGACAAGAAATAACAGGAGTTGGTGAGGAGGTGGAGAATAGGGAACCCTGGTGCACTATTGGTGAAATGTAAATTGGTGCAGCCGCTGTGGAAAACAATCTGGAGGTCCCTCAAAAAATTAAAAATTGAAATATCATATGATTCTGTAATTCCACTACTGGGTATTTGCCCAAAGACTACAAAAACACTAATTCAAAGGAATACATGCATCCCTATGTCTAGAGCAGCATTATTTACAATAGCCAAGATATGGAAGCAACCCAAGTGACCACAGATAGATGAATGGATAAAGAAGATATGGTATGTATACAATGGAATATTACTCAGCCATAAGAAAGAATGCAATCTTGTCATTTGTGACAACAGAGATGGACCTAGATGGTAGAATGTTCAGTGAAATAAGTCAGTCAGAAAAAGAAAAATACTGTATGATTTCAGTCATATGTGGAATCTAAAAAAACAAAAGAATAAACAAACAAAAAGTAGAATCAGACCTATAAATACAGAAAACAAACTGGTGGTTGGAGGGGAGGGGGATGGGCAAAATGAGTGGAGAGTGGGAGATAAAGTCTTCCAGGCATAGAGTGAAGAAGTCACAGGAATAGAAAGTGCAGCATAGGGAATACAGTCAATGCTATTGTAACATTGTGTGGTGACAGATGGCAGCTACCATTCCAGGGAGCACAGCATAACATATAGAGTGGTTGAATCACCATTGTACGCCTAAAACTAACGTGATCCTGTGTGTCAGCTGTACTTAAAAAAATGAAAGAGCTATTTTTTTTAGATTTGTATTTATTTATTTGCAAGAAAGAGAGAGAGAGAGAGAGCACAAGCAGCAGGATCAGCAGGCAGAGGGAGAAGCAGGCTCCCCACTGAGCAGGGAGCCTGATGTAGGACTTGATTCCAGGACCCCAGGACCATGACCTGAGTTGAAGGCAGACGCTTAACCAACTGAGCCACCCAGGCATCCCTGAAAGAGCTATTCTGATTCAGATACCATGTTACTGATACTTAAATCAGAAGTATTACAAATCAGCATCAACAAAACTTCAAGCTAAAATTTGCTTAAAGGGAAACTGGCAAGAAAGAGGTATACTTTCCTGTTCTAATAGAGCCCAAAGTGTGGGGATAGGACAATGCCTAGGGAGCTTGGACATTCCAGGTTACTTGAAAGACATATTTCCTAGAGGAGGAAGCAGTCTCATTTACTTTAGCTTATGAAATATACTATAAAAGCCTTCCATTTTATTATCTCTAA